CTGCACTCTCTTCCCAGGCTGCCACTTACTTTCTTCATCGCATGCCTGCGCAGTCTCCTATTTAAATAATGCAAACTCTCTCCTTTCACCTTCTGCTAGCATAGATGTGTTTTAAAGCCTTTTCATGTATTTTTTGGATCTTCCATTTTAATCCTTGGTGATTATCTCTGTTTTCTGTTGTTTTTCTTCCCTCCCCTTGCAGCCAGTCCAGCAAGATGGGTTTCCAGGCTTGGCTTGCCAAAGCAGCTGGTGGTGTTTGGGCTGGGAGACTGGAGCTGTTACTCTTCGGACACGCGTGTCATGGCGGACGTGCTGGTGTCCCCGGGCGTTGCACCGCAGCGGGTCGGCACGCTGGAGCCTGCCCGCAGGTCACAGTGGGAGCTGGCACTGCTGGGGTGTCAGGAGGGGCGGCCTGGAAAAGCTTTCTGCTCTGTGGTGCTACCTGGTTCTGCTGGTGTCATCCCAAAGCTGCTGGAGCCTGCTGGTTCTCCACCATGGTGTTTCTTTCTAGTGATACTTTCAGCTTCCTTTTGGTTGCTTTCAGAGCTGGATCTTTTTTGGCTTTGGGGTGCTACCAGCTAGTGTGGAAGCAGGAATTTTTCCCTGCTCAGTGTCACTTGTGGGCTGAAAACCCATGGTCCCCTGTGCAGGTCTCTGGTATGGGAAGGTGACTGGAGGACAGATATTTTCATGGCCTCATTGAAAGAGATGGACAAAGGCAATCCTGTGAAGCTTGTTCTGACTGTCAATGGACAGGTAAAAGAACCGACATCTTCATTTCTTTCTGCCCTGGGTCCCAAATGTTGTCCATTCTGAGCTACAGAACTTCCTCTCCCATCCTCTCCTTTTCCTTCTCTTTGCTGCTCCAAGGCAGAGCTGCCTTATGCAGGTCTATTGATGCACATCTGTGTTGAGCCTAAACCCTCTGTGATGCTCCAGGCCTGCTCCCTAAACACAGCTTTGCAAAGCTCATGTGTCACAGGAGATGGGCAGCAGAGAGCAGTTCACTTCCACTTCCACTCTCTCCTGGGTTTGTGGTACTTGCACAGTTTTTTTACCTTGTGCTGAAGCCCTTGGATTTCACACCTCCCAGTGCCTGGCTTTGCTTTTCTTTTCTTTGTTTGTTCTGCTGGTGCTGGAGATGAAGGCTGGGCTATTCCCTTGCAGGGAATCTGTCCCTTGCAAGACATCTTTTTGCTCACCCTTTGTGGATGGAGGCCAGCACGCTCGGCATGTCCTTTTCTTCTCATTGTCACCATTTCTGCTGCAGCTGCTCAGAGGTGTCTCCAGCAGTACGCCCGCCCGCCCCTTCCTCGTCCCAGAGACCACCCAGTCGCCAGTGCTCCCAGCACATGATATGCCCCTTGGACAGGACCTGGAGGGTCCCACTGTGGTATGTGTATCCTGGAGCCTTCTTCTCATTATTTCACCCTCTCCTTAGTATCTTCTCCCTCACTCATAGATGCTCAGCTGATGTCTAGTGTAAACATATGCTGTTGCTCTCCTAGTGGAGACCTGGCTAAGCAAGTTTTGGAGTCGAAGATTCACTTGTGCTAAAGAAAGTGGTACTCTCCATTGAAAAGCCTTTGGAAGGGTTGAATTTAACAGCCCTTGGTGGGATGATTGATCAGCCTGGTTACTCCTAGCATAGATGGCCTTTCTGCCTTTCCAGTTGCCTTGTGCTAGCCGTGCCTGTCACAGCCAGCAGTCTGAAAGCAGACCACTGGGCATGTAGCAGCGGGTAGCTGCATTGCTCAGCATATATTTGGCAGCTGATACTGTTGGCATGCTGGCCCTTAAGACTCAACGGGAAGATGAGCCTGAAAACAGACATCACGTGAAACTAATCTCTGGCCCAGTAATGTACAAGTCACAGTAGCCTCGAGTCTTTTTCTTCAGGGCTGATTTGACTGGGACTCTTGTCATAGGTTAAGAGTCAGAGCTCAGAGGTGACTGCTAGAGCATCCAGGCCTGGGAGGAAGGACATACACCCACCACAGAGGACCCTGAAGCCACCATCTGGCAAGGTGGAACCCAGTGAGGCCTGGAGGCAGAGTCCTGTCCACCCCAAGAAGCCCAGGAAAGTTTTATTTGAACCCACAGCATCTGAGAGAGATCTCAATGAAGAAGGTAACTCTGGCAGCTTCTAGGTTTATTTTACTGCTCTTGTGTGAATGATCTGTCAATGCTGCTGGGCAACAACTTCCCAGTCCGTTTCTCTGTATACCTGCAAGGCAAGACAGGCTTGTCTGTCTTGGCTTGCGAAATACTGAGAACTGCTCCTTCATCCTGGATAAACTGCTTGATGAATTCTTGCCTGTTGGGAAAAGGCCAGAAATAGAACGTGGGATACACTTAGTGCCAACACTCTGTACCATAACATAATATGCCTATCTCTTCATACGAGTAAAAGTGCTTTATAAATGAAGCAAGTATCATTAGTCTTGTTTTACGAAAGACTAAATTGAGGCACAAGAAGGCTACCTACTGTGATGTTCTGTAACCTCTCCATTGGTCTGTTTGTTCCCCCACTAACACCATACCACTTGGTCCATAGAAGACATTGGTTATTATTAAACTATAGACAATATGAAAAGGAATATATGTATAATTAGTGTAATTGCACTAACTTTTCAGTAGTGAGAAGGTAGCTGCCAAGGGGTTTGGAAACAAAACCTTTAGCGTCTGGAGTGTGAATTCCAAGTCAGCTCCAGGGTGTGACCAAGTTTGTGTGTAAATGATAATAACTCAGTGGTCCTCATGTGATGTGACTTCTTGGGACTCGGTTTGCTTCTCACAAAGGCAAATGTAGCTCCATCATAACGTCGCTTCTGCTGTAGGCAGTGTGAGAAGGGGGGAAATGAGCTTCCATCAGAGGGGTAAAATGCAACGGTGTCAGCATGATGGCAGTCAAAGGAAGTGTGCCCTGCTCTTACCTGTCTTTTGCATTTCTTCTGATGAGACTTTCTTCAGGACTGTTGGTCTTGCACCTTGTTTGTTGCAGTGAGGTAGCTTTGTGCTGAGGGTTGGAGGGAGGAAGGCCAGAGGGCTCTTAAACCGTGGAAAGCTGAGCACTTTCCAAGGTATGTCTGCTGGCTGCTTTCTTACGGGGCCATCTCTGTGTTTCCTCTGCAGATCTGGCGGTGGAGGAGTTGCAAGGTGAGGATCTGGTTCCTACACCCTGGTTTGTGTCTTCAGCCACTCAGTGATGCCATTCCCTTTAATGCCACAGGCCTCTCATGCTTCCTCCTTTATCTCCCCAGTGATGAAGAATAACAAGTAGGTTGTGTGTATATACTCTTCCTCCCCGTGCAATTGCTCTCAGTATAGGTGCTTCCAGTACTGTCAGGCTCTCCAACACGCTTCTGTAGCCCCTCTGAGTCTCAGGCACACCTCTGGGTGCATAGCCCTTTGAGGCAAAGGGTAAGACGTGGAATCAACTTTGATTAAGAAGTACTTTTTAGCTTGCTCAGCTAACCGCAGGGGCCTGGGAAAGGAAAGTAGGAGGAACAGAGCGGTATGAGGAATATCTCTGGAAGCAGCTCCAGGCTTCTGGTTGCTATATCTTAGGCACGAACAAGCTGTCCCTGAGTAGCCCTCCCCCACAAGGAGTAACGCGGGGGGATAGCACAACTGGGATATCCCTTCTGGGGATGGGTAATCAATGGGGAGCATCCAAGCCTGTCTGTATGCATCCTACATCTAGCCAGACTCTTTGCTGGCTCCCTCTGCTAGCGATGTCTCTCCTAGTACAGCAGCTATTCCACAAAGCCAACAGAAAATCTTCCTTGGGAGCTATGTCTCTTGCCACCCCAAAGGGAAGGGACCTGGGGCCCTTGCCTTCCCATTTCTCCCCTCTGAGCTTTCAGCTGCCTTGTTGTCTGCAGCAGGGAAGGGAGCTCGGGGTGTCTCATCTGATTCAGCTCACAGCCCTGTCCTCTCCCCTCCCCAGGCAGCCCCAGCCCACGGTGGTGCCATGCCATGTGCCTCAGTGACCTAAGGACAGCTGTTCTGATCGGTGGAGAAGGTGTCGATCAGCAGTCCTGCAAGGATGCACTCTGGAAGCTGGAAATTGGTGGGGACTTTAGGGCTATCAAAGGAAATGGGGGCAGGGTGACTTGAGGACAACTCGTGCAGATGGAAGGGGGTACTCAGGGGCCTGTGCATAGGGAGGGGACAGCAAAGGTGTCACATCTCCTAGCATGGTCACCAGGCTGAGCTGACAGCATAGAGCACCCATACAGTGTGTGGGGTTGTATGTGAGAGCCTTCCAGGAGCTAAGGTATAAGTTCTGGAAAGAGTTGGGTGAGTTTAAAGGGGTAAAACAGCACAGTTTGCAGTCTATGTGTGATGACCAGTGAAGTGTGAGATACAGTTCCAGTGCCTTGCAGCTTTCTGCACCTTGCAGATCCTCTCTTCCACCTTACTATTCCCCACGTAGTTAGTGTTTCCCTTCATTCCTTACACAAACGCATTTCTGTATGACTCCCTCTAGCTCTGAAACACAGAAGAGGAGGAGATGAAGGGATCAAGGTCTTGAGTGAAAATTTTGTGACATATTTTTTAAATCTAGAAAAACTGAGAGCATCTTTGAACTCCCACACCAACTGTCTGGTGTTGCTCCCACAGACAGTGATTTCTGGCTTCCAGTGGGTTTCCAGCTACAAAATGCCATGCCATCGTGCTTGCATGGTCACACAGCTACCTACGACCCAGACACCAAACGTATCTACGTTGTTGGGGGCATAAGGGAGGACAAAGACTACAGCAGCATCTACATTCTGGACACAGTCACCTGGAAATGGCTCCTTGTGGCTGTAAGTACTGCAGCTCTTTCAAGACAAAAGCACAGGAGGGGTGGCAGGTCCTGCCTGAATGTGGTAATCAATGTGCCTGTATCCTTATTCCAGTAGTCTTGGTCCACTGTTGCTGCAGGTTGTCTGAGCTGCTTAGTTGGGATTGACAGATATAAGAAGGCTATGTTGAAAGGCCACAAGCTTGGCAAAAAAACAGGTGGGCTGTGCCTACAATGAATGAAGCAAGGTGAAAAAATGGTTGCTGCAGAGTGCTGTCTCTGACCAGGGTCGTGGGTGGGAGGTACTGTACAAGCGGCAGAGGGAAATGGCCTCTCATTTTATATGGTGCTGTTGAGAGCTGCACTGGATGCTGAGGAGAAGAGCTGGTCTTCTCAAATCAGGGACTGCTCTGAGCATACCAGATGTCTGAGTTCTTTAGTTGCCTGTCATGTCCTTGCAGAGGGCCCTGTCAGCGAGAGACTGTCTCTTTCCTGGCTAAGTCACAAAATTACTTTTACAGAATAAGCCTGGATGAGATCTTTCTGTTCTCTGTCATCTTCTGAGGAAGCTGGGGTTCACTTCCTTCTCTCATCAGAGCATTCTGGTGGTGCAGAGTTCAGAAAGGATGTACTGTGTGCCTGTGTGGCAAAGATCTGGCTGGGGAGCCAATAAAGTGAAAATTGAGACTTGACAAACTCACTGCATGGTGTGGGCCCCTTTCCTATGGGTCATGAAGCAAATAATGCACTTCTTGTAGCAAATGTATGTTGAACTTTTTCCAGGCTAAAGGGAGGACGCCAGTGCTCACCTACCACAGCGCAACTGTCTACCGCAAGGAGCTCTTTGTTTTCGGAGGGACTTTCCCCAAAAAGGCATCACTGGCACTTGGACCCTGTAGCAATGTGCTCTATGTCTTCAATCCAGAGCATGAAATTTGGTATCAGCCCATCTCTGAAGGGGAGAAGCCACTGCCTAGGCTTGGGTGAGGATGCTCTTATTCCAGCTGTATTCCAAAATAGAGCAGGAAACCTCTGCTCACCTTCCCTCCCACCCCAGTTTAATTTCCTAAATATTAAGTGATTGTTTTCCACCAGTGTCCCCTGAAGACAGGGCTACAATTTGAGCAATGTAATTCCCAGTACCTCCTGACATGAATCCTGATGGGATTCTGTCCTTGGGCCGCAGTGGCTGTGGGTAGAGGCAGGAGTAGACTGAAGCTATGGCAGCCCAATAGCAGAAGCCAAGGCTGAAACATCAGTTTTGGCACTTGCTGAAGATACTTGGTTCACTTGCTGCTTCTCTGCCCAGGCATTCAGCTACTCTACTGAAGAACAAGCTGCTCATTTTTGGGGGTCGGAGGACTTCTTTCTACCTCAGTGACATGCACATCCTGGATCTGGGTAAGAAAGTCTGTGCCAGGTGGATGCCTTGGAAAGGTCTGTTCTAAGGCAGGGACTGGGGAATGAGGCATGCTCAATGGGAAGGTAGCATTAATGTCATAAAAACTCCTAACTAGGCAATGGAGGTAGAAAACTATGGGGTAAAAAAACCATTTCTGGGGTAAGAGGGGAGCAAATGGGGAAAAACAAGAGAGTGCTTTTTTGGAAGAAGCTGGGTAACAAAGAATACACGTTGCTGATGTGGCAGAGTATGGAAGTTTTTGTCTACTTATGAGGCTGAGCTTTTTGGACATTTCACCTGCCTTTCCCCTGCCTGTCAGGTTTCATGGAGTACACACCAGTCCCCCTCCTCGCAGGACAGCCTTCTGCACGTTGGTAAGATCCTGTTGTAGACCCAGGAGCTAACTTCTTCCTCTGTCCCTTCTCTTTGAAGCCAGGTTTAAACAGTGCTTGTCATCAGACCCCGTTGTGTATCTCTGTCCCATCAGTCAAAATACAGTGGATGGCACCTCTGCTGTGGGACCAGAAATTCTTGTGCTGTCCTAGTTGGCATCTATAGGGTGGGGGGGTACAGACCCCTCAGTCTCCCTGGAAATTTGCCTTTCAGGGTAGGGGAAGTTTTCTGCCATGTGCTAGTGAACTGTATTGCCTGCTGTGTGGCCTCCACAGTACCCAGAGTAAAATAGACACACAGAGAGGAAGAAACTCTTGTACCAGGACTATGTTGTTCCTCAAGGGACACTATTGCCCCCTAGAACAATGACTAAATCAGGCCAAAGCCCAGCTAGCCAGCTATCTCCCTCCGTAGAGCAAAACAGAGGAGTTTCAATAGCTCCTTCTGAGATAATGAGGTGCTTTTCAGGCCTGATTATGGCCTGGCCTGCAGAGGCAAGCAAACAGCTCTTTCAGGGTTATTCAGCAGGTCAGGACAGAAGAGAAGCAGAAGTAAACTTCTGTTCTGCAGCTTAAGCCCACAGCCTCCTGCTGAAGTCTGCCCACCCCTGCCCATTGTTGACTGAGGCAACCCCAGCAGGTTTTGCTGCAGTCATCTTTCAGCTTTGCTTTGGTTGCAGTTTTCATGCAGCTCTGGCAGTGTCGGACCAGAAGGTTCTGATCAGTGGAGGTTGCAATGCCAGGGGAGCCCTGCAGGATGCCTTTGTCTTCCACCTAGGTGAGTGACTCTCCTTCCTGCTTTCTGTAGCTGAAGGTGACTGTTGGGCTGCAGCGGTGTTTCTGAACACCTAGTCTGGTCCATTTGTTTCATCCCTTGCACTAGGAACAGGTTTGTCAGTATTGATAGCTGCTTTCTACTTCAGATACTCTTTCATGGAGCACGGTGATCCACCATGACCTCTGCTCTGTGCCCCGAGCTGGCCACACATTGCTTGACTTGACTCCTGCCCACCTGATGGATGTGGACAAGGAGAACAAAGAGGAGCATAACCTGCACACAGTGTTGGTCTTTGGGGGCTCCAACTGCGCTGGGACCTTTTACAATAGCACGGTCAAGATCCAGCTGGACCTAGGATAATGCACAATACTCATAATGAGCCTGGAACAGCCAGGGCTCTTCACCAGCCTGAATACAGACATGGATGGCAATAAATGAGTCCAAGCAATGTGGCATTGGTTGCACATGTATTGGGTGTACAATTTGGGTGTTGTGTATTTGGGTGAACGCTACTTTGGCACAAGAGATCACGGGTTTGTAAAGCCTTTCTGAAGGGTATTGCCTTCTTCGGGCAGCTGATACACAGCATCATACTGGCAGAAATTCCCTCCCATATCTCTGGCGTGGTACTTGGGCTTGGGTGCCAAAACATTCAGTGAGAGCTGAGCCGAGCCTGCACAGGAACACAGTCAAAGGCTTCTGGGTTTCCTTTCTTGCCCGACAGGTTTGTGGGCTGGAATTCCTGGGTGCTTTCTGCACTGAAGGTGACTCAGGTGTTGGGTTTCATTTGGGATGAGTGGAATGGGATTTACTCCACTTGCAAGGTCCTCACAGTGAAAGTACAGGTCTGATTCTGGTTTGGAGGGAAGTTGGGGTGGGATTCCCTTTAGAAATAGCCTGCAGCTGAGGACTAGGAAAACACCTAGGGCAGTGTCTGAGGATGGGAAAAGGAAGGGAACACCATCATTTTCAGCATACAGGAGTGAGCTGGCTGTGTCAGCTGACCATGCCACAACCCCCTAGCTTTGCTCTGGACAGCCCTTTATTATAAATTCTGCAAGACTGCTGCTAGACATAAGGAAGAGGTGTAAGTCAGCTGTCCTAGGTAGTAATTCTCTTGTCATTGCAAGGGGTGGCAGAGTTGCTGACTGTTGGTTCTTGCAAGGTGCACAGGACCCAACAAGGGTTGGGATTAAGCTATCTTCTATCAGAGACTAGCTCTTATTGTTTATATCCACGGCACTGATGATTATGCCGTTGCTCTGAGGCAGCTGCAAGGAGAAGCAGGCCTGCTAGGTTAGTAGCACACTCTGTACACTGGTTTCCTGATGTTCTTTCTGTAGGTGGTAGAAAGAAGAAGCCCCTGTGGGGAGTCCAGAATTGGCTCAATGCCTCACAGTTGTTTGTGGCCACATTGCCCAACCCAAAGCCATACAAAGGGGACTTCTGATAATTATGGATGCTCCTGCTTTAATCTGCTACATGGAGATGCATCAGATAGATAGAAAAAAAAACATAGAAGTAGCTGCAAACTTTCCAGCAAAGGCATAGCTCCTATAAGTCATCCAGGTTACTTCCAGGTCCTCTGCCCTTCTTCCCATCCAGATGAAAGTGAGACAATAGTACTAAGGCTTCCCACTGGCACAGAAGTCCTACTCGAGCTGTAGCTGTTGTCCTCTCTGACACTCCAGCTTACTTGATTTTATGAGTAGAAGGGCTTTAAGCTTGCAGCTCTGCAGGAGTATCTGGCTGCCGGGATGGGTGGCTTACTTTGAATGCCTCTAACTCCAGGAGAGCTTTGTTTATTCTGGTTATTGTGGGATATGGACCCATGTCCACTTTGAATCTGCAAAAGGAAAAGAATTTTTGAGTTACTTTTGAGTCAGTAGTGAGCACAAGGGTAGAGCAGTGTGCTGCGCCTGCCCAGTATGGAAGAATCTCACAGGCTGGGGTACTTTTGATTAAAAGAAGTTCATCCTTGAAGGTTTAAAAACAAATGCTAGAGGAAAGCTTAGTTAGTTCTTCCGTCCTCACTAGGCTTTTATATAGTGTGTGGCACAGGGTGAGAAGGCACTATTTCCTGGGAATCATGCAGCCACTACTTGCACAGATTTAAGGCTTCCAACAAATACAGTCAGATTAATCTTTTCCCCCTGTCTGCAGTGTACATCGCAAACTGGGAGAGAGGATGTGGAGTGCAGGCAACCTTAGCTTTTCTAAGGACATAGAACAGGTTTCCTCCAGGGGCCTCTGAAGACAGAGCCCAGCTCCTTCTTTCCAAGAGCTTCCAAAAGAGACAGTATTTATGACATAGGAAAATTCATGCAGAGAAGAATCCATAACTGGATAGGGCAGGCAGAAGGGATGCTTTCTTAACAGGCACAAGGAGAAGCAGAAGACAAGCTCTGACAGCCCAGCACAAGCAGTAAGAGCACCTCAGGCTTAGCCTTAATTACCTTTCAGCATTGGCAACTTGAGGCACCAAGCACAGATCAGCCATGGAAACCTGCAAATGTAGCAGAGAAAAGGGGTCAGAGTAACTCAGAGCCTGTCCCATCATGCTTCACTGTGGTGGCAGGCTTTGACAGCAGGATAGAATTTATTTTATCAGCCAGTACAGAGGAGTTGTCACAACAACCCCATTCTTTAATCCAGCATAAATAATACAACAACAGTACAAGGAAAGGAACATCATAGGAGTCACTAGGAGAAACAGCCATCAGCCTTTAGGGAGCTTCATATTTACCAGCTGATGATTGTGACCTCAAGGACACAGTGCTTCTATGGCAGCTGCCTCTGAGCAAACAAGTCTGCTGGCAAGCTGCAGAGGGAGGCGATGGAGGGAGGAGGGAGTTTGCAGGGATGGGAACAGATGAGTAAATTTTGCTTGTTTGCACTGCAGGAGTATCAAGCAGCTCCTGCCAATGTCAAGACCTGATACGTGATAGGGCCTTGGCACACAGGCTCAGGGACTTGCAGTCTGAAAAAGAAGAGTCAAGGACGATACAGCTAGCTGCCTATCTGCGCAGAGGCAGCTGCCCCCACCCCAATCCCCAAGTCACAAAGCTCTGGGTGCCTTTCAGAGCACACATTATTCTCCAGCATGAGAACTCGTAACTAGCCTTTGCCCACCAAGGGCTCCAGTTCCATAAGGCTCCTGCTGGACAATCCTCTGCATCACAAGTAATTGCAGGAGCCTGCCTTTTTGCCAGGCTTTTATAGGA